CTGAATTCATTCATCTTTACTCATTTATGGATTAATACATATCTTTGTGTAATATATCCCTATTGTTACAATAAAATGTCTATTGCTGCTAATAATAGAAATATAGCAATTAACAAGGTAATTCATAAATATGGCCTTTACAGGGGTTGCATTTTGGCTTACATATTAAAGAGGACTTCTCTTCCTATTAAAAATTTAATAGGAAGCAATTTATCATTGACTTAGATCAATTCAGTATGTAATTGTAGCCGTCCATATAGAAGAATTTGTGCCATGACCTGAGTTACCTTTAAATGTTACAGGGCATATGTGAAAAATAAATAAATACCTTGACCTACCTGTGAGAATGTCTTCAGGACAGGGTACCTCATTAGGCAGTCATAAGTTATATAATTATATTCATATGCATTTCACTGTAATTGGATAGTGTACCAAATTAAATAGATCAGTAATATTGTTGAATATATTTTGGTACTTTTATAACAGGAAAGTACAGAACCACATTCTGGTTGTGTTTTTGGCCGATTAGTGTTATACATAATTATAATCTAATTAGTTATCACATAAATTCCACCTTGTATTTTACAACAGGACAATCACATGAAAGTGTTTATCAAGACTATTACATTTCTTTAAAAACCAGAAACTTTCAAAGATGTGACAACTTATTATTAAACATAAATATTTTAAAAAGAAAAAGTACTCAGAGAAAGAAATGCCAAACTATTTATCCAAAGTTTTCAAGTTATTTTCCCTAGGTTTACGTTATGTAAAGAAAGTCTTGGTTACTCAGTTGTGTCCAGCTCTTTGCGACCCCATGGACTATAGCCTGCCAGGCTCCTCTGTCCATGGAAATTTCCAGGCAAGAATATTGGATTAGATTGCCATTCCCTTCTGTAGGGGATCTTCCTGACCCAGGGATCCGATCCAGGTCTCCTGCATTGCAGGCAGATTCTTTACTGTCTGAGCCGCCAAGGAAGCCCTCTTTAACTTTTAGCATAACTTTAGTGTTTATGTGTAAGTAATACAAAATAAAACTGAAATTATATATATGTTTACTTGAAAGAGGATTCTGAGCACTCACTACCATGCTAAACTGGGTGTACAGTGATGTATACATTGAATTTCCCGACCTAGAAAACTTCCGAGTTGACCCATCAGCCATTCACTGTACTAAACAACTAAATGCAGTAACAGTCAAGCCCAGATGTTGTATTAATTTGCAAAACAGGAGGAACAAATTGACCAAAGCAGAGAGATAAGAGTCATCATACAGAGGTAGTATCAAAATTTAGTGCTGGAGCAGGTGGTAAGACAGAACAGGTGACAAGTCTAGAGCAGTTGAACTTGACCAGTGCTTGAAAGCTCTCAAATCCAAACTGATTCATAGAGCATAGTATAATATAATTGGGAATATAATTGGGTCAGTCCCCATTCCACTCTCACCTCCACCACTAGATGTTTGCTGCCAATATTCTACTGTTCTTTGGCATGAAGTATTGCATTTTTAAAATGTTTTCATAGTATTTTCATTCATTTTTTAATTGTGTTACGAGTTAAGACTTTTTTTCAAGAATCTCTCATATAACACATATTCTCTGAAAATTTTTTAACACCTTTGACAGTGTCTGCCAAAAGCTTTTGCACTTAAAAATGACTTGACTGCAAATAATTAAGCAGTGTGACACCTTCTTTGTTTCAGTATCTGTGGATACTTCTCCAGTATCATCAGGTATAGATGTTGCTTTGTGGAAGGGTAAAGCCAGCTTTGCCCTGGTGCTGGTGGTGCTAGAGAAGACTTGAGAGTCCCTTGGACTGCAAGGAGATCAAACCAGTCAATCCTAAAGAAATAAACCCTGTATATTTAACATCAGAAGGACTGATGCTAAAACTGAAGCTCCAGTACTCTTTGACCACCTGATGCAAAAAGCCAAGTCATTGGAAAAGACCCTGATGCTGAGAAGGATTAAAGGCAAAAGGAGAAGGGAATGGCAGAGGATGAGATGGTTAGAGATAGCATCACCAACTCAATGGACATGAAATTGAGCAAACTCTGGGAAACAATGGAGGACAGAGGAACCTGGAGTGCTACTGCCCATGGGGTTGCAAAGAGTCAGTTATGACTTAGTTACTAAACAACAACAGAGCCAGTGGTAAAATATTTACCACTCGAAAGTGACTTGTTTCTTCTATTAAAATACTTGAAGAATTTTGTTTTATTCTTTATGATTTAAAAAAAAATGTAGCGAGGTTATACATTTCTGTAAGTTGTCCTCTATTATGTTTTTTCCTGAAAATATATAAATACCCTGTTCATTTGTAATTTCAATTTTTCCTTTATCCTAGGGATTTTTTACTGTATCCTATCTTAAATAATTCTGGTTCATTTGTTCATCTCATTATTGTGTTACATAAGTTGGTCTTTTTTTTTTTTTTTGATCTATTGTCTTCTAATTATATACTTACCTCTTGCTTTACACTTAAATCACTATGCCAGTTTTTCAGTTTGAAACTTTATTCTGGCTTTTCTGGTTATGATTTGTTTATTTATCCTGTTTTGACCTTTTAGAGACATTTTATTTTCTCCTGCTCTTAATTCTTCTTTTTTATTTCTTTTCATTTACTCATCAGCTTGTCTTAAGAGTTCTTATTTTACTGAATCTAGTTGCTTAAATTCTATAGCATGAAAGATTCTCATGTAGTTGTTCTTCTGTTTCTTGGACTATGTTAAATTTCAAACAAAATTTCTTTATTCATTCTGCTTTGTTTTACTCAATATATCTACATATTTGCTGAGCACTTTTTTTCTCTATTCTTGTTTAATTTGAGATTTATATTTGTACCTTAGTATATTTTGCTATAGGTGAATTTACTCTAACAGTCTGTTTCTCCCTTGGTTTCTTGGTAGCTTAAGAACTCCCTTTTCTTCATCTGTTTTGGGAAGAAAAGTCAACCTCCAAATCTCTGGAACCTCTGAATATGTTATCTTAAGTATCAAAATGTGGAAAGAGCTTTTGCAGATGGGATTAAGTTAAGGATTTTAAAATGAGAAGATTACCTTTTGGGGTTGATATAATCACAAGAGGCCTTCCTTATGAGAGGGGAGTGGGAGAGTAATAGAGTAGAGATGTTAACAGTGGACGCAGAATGTAGAGTTATATGTTTTGAAGTTGAAGGAAGAAGACAATAGCGAAGGAATGCAGGCCGCCTCTGAAGCCTGGAAAGTGGCAAGGGAACAGATTCTCCCCTAAAGCCTCCAGATAAAATGAATCCTGCTAACATCCTGATTTTAAGCTATAAAACTCATTTTGGACTACTGACCTCCAAAACTTTAAGATAATTTGTATTTTAAGTCACTGAGTCGTGATAGTTTGCTACAACAGCAATAGGAAACTAATACAGTAAGGAATCTTTAGAACAAGTCTTTCTCTTAAATATAGACCTAATCTGACCTGTTTTACTTGGGGGACAGATTATTTTTTTCTATTTTTCCTTTTTTAAAAATGACTGGCTCTTGAGTTAATAATTCTCCTTAGTCACTAGCCTGTTTAAGATTACTTGTAATTATTCTGCTGAATTATACTTTCTTTGTGTCTGTGATCAACAGTTCCTTCTTGATGCCCCACTCTACAGGCATATATCTTAATGGGCTTAATTTCTATTCTTGAAATTCTGAAGATAGAAGTAAGAAAATATATACCTACCATGTTTTGCTTATCCATTCTTAAATTGGAGACTAAAATTTCAACTCCCTACTAGTTGAATCCTATGATTCTTATCCTTGTAAAGATTCCTATGTGGAATGAGATTACAGTATCATGGGTTATAGCTTATTTGATTTTATAAGTTGTTGACTATTCTCCAAGTACACAGGTCAATACCTTATTTTAGATCATAAAGTTTCCTTTTTCACCAAGCTTGTATAATTTGTATACATCCATTTTTATGAATGTATAGTTTGTATATTTTGATTTGTATAATTTGATTTTAACATCATTTGTATAGTTTGATTTTTTTTAATCAAGTTGATGTATGTAAAATAGTATCTAACTTTTGTTTTTCCTTTTTCTGATAGTTAACAAGGCTAGGAATTTCCTGGTAAATGTGCCTACCATTCAGTGGTAATGAGAAGGCTGAGCCCACGGTAAGGGAGAGAACTCTCAGGGGTATGGTTTACTGGGGGCAGAGAATACATAAGGGAAGCTTGATCCTGGGCTGATTCTGTTGTAACTGCTGAACTTGGGAGTAAACATTTATTGTCTCTAGGACATGAGGCGTGTTCAGAGGTGAGTAGGAGGTAGAATGGAGCTCATTGTGGAGTTCAAATTCTGTATGGAGTCCAGCTATTTCCAGGAGACGTGTACTGAGGCCTGGAACGAGGAGCCTAGAACATGAGACCCTCAGGCTTCACAAGGACAGGATTCATGGGGAGGGCCAGTGGGGTGTGAAGACAGGGGATTCCTCTTTCTCCATACCTTTGGGAAAGTGAAAAAGAAGAGAGTGGCATGAGAAAGCAACTTTTAAAAATTCACAGGAGTATTCTCAATAGTGGAGGAAATTCATTAATGTTAGAATTGTGTGAAATTATGATATTCTCACATCTATACCTACATTGTAGCATATACCTCACGTATAACTTATATTTGTACATAAGTTCAGTAGTACACTAATGTGATATGTGTTAGTAGACATATGTGTGAGACAGGCATGGTTCTAAGCCTAGTACTCTCAGATACTGCCTTATCCTTAGCTCTGGGAAAATTCAGTAATGTGGTTGTCACCCTGGACACATAAAATATTTTCTTCCTTTAATCCATGTCATCTGTTCTCTAGCTTTGATATCAAATTCAAGAAATAAAAAGTCAAGTTAATGGTAGAGTCTTTGTTGGATAAAAGGAATCACCCTAGTCATGGGCTGCCACAGTCTTGCCATCTTGTGAATACTAGCTGAGCCCTGGAGTGTAATGATGTCATAGAATCCTGATGAGATCCTAGTGACTTATGACTTACATCATAATGGGTCTGAAGTACTGGTCAGGACAGTGACTTGGTGAGGAGACAGACTCTCAAATGTTCTTGAATGTACTAATTTGATTCTTTGTCATTATCAGCTGACTGTCTGGCTACAGAATTGCAGGGAGAAAGTTACCGGATTTGAATCACTCTCCAAAGAGTTGAACCATGAAACAGAAACCAACAAGGAGGTGTGGAAAGAACATACTCCTCTAGGCTTGCAAAGATGTCAGGAGGTATGTGTTAAGCCTATTTCCTGAGCATAGGGAACTGAGTTCTAAAGAAAGAAGGGAAGCATTTCCTATCTGTGGTGAGGGAGGAAGGGAAAGAGGGAGAGGAAGATGCATGTAAGCTGGTCTTTCTGGGACTCCGGGTGGTCTGAGAGTAAAGAGAAACTTCAGATGATCAGGTCTTTGTCTCTGCTGCTTTGGACTTAGCTACCTATACCGTATTACTCTTGAGTTACTGTCACATATGTAGTGGTTGATTAGTGTAATTTTTTTAAAAAATGTTTTTCCCTTTATCTGGCTTCTACCTAAGATTGGGGGTTAAATAAGTGATGTTCTTATACATTTTCCAATAGTACTTTCTCTTGTTAATGAAGAAGAAAGTGTGACTCACAAAGTAGAGGGAAAAACTGGGGAGAAGTATTTAAACATTAAATCTGGTTGTGCAGGGATGAGAGAATAAAGTCATATAGAATTTACTCAGGAATAAAGACAAATTGTTTTCTCAGATTATGAAAATGTAATATGGGGGCATTCCTCTGTGTAATATAAGGAAAGAAAACATAATCCACAGAACACATGAAAAACACCATTAAACCAAATGGTTGGCTTGAAGAGCAAGTTGGACTCTTTAAGAAAAAAAGGGGGGGGGGAAGGAAATTGAAATAATTCTGGTTACTATGGAGATTCACAGTAGACAAGTAACTACTATGAGAAGTAATCATTACTCAATGAGAGGAGAAAGGCAAATTGGAGCCTACCCTAAAGCTTTGAGCGATAACTCTTACCCATGAAAGGAATTTAATATTTCCAAGGGCATGTTACATCATGAGGAAAGTGTGAAAGCAGTAACAGTTTAAAACAGACAAATAAGTGGACATTTCTCCAAAGAAGACATACAAATGATCAATAAACACATGAAAAAATGTTCAACATCATTCATTAGAGAAATGCAAGTCAAAGTTACAGTGAGATATCACCTCACACAGGTCAGAATGGCTAACATCAAAAAAATCTACTAACAATAAATGCTGGAGAGGGTGTGGAGAAAAGGAAACTCTCTTGTACAGTTGGTGAGAGTGTAAATTGATACAGGCACTCTGGAGAACTTAAAACACTAAGAATAAAGCTACCTACCATATGACCCAGCAATCTTACTACTGGGCACATACCCTGAGAAAATCACAATTCAAAAAGACATGTACCTCCAGTGTTTACTGCATCACTGTCTATAGTAGCTAGGACATGGAAGCAACCTAGATGTCCATTGACAGATGAGTGGTTAAAGAAGTTGTGGTATATGTATAGTTATATGTGTGCATTTAGTATTATTTAGCCAAAAAAAGGAATGAATGTGAGTTGGTTCTAGTGAGGTGTATGAACCTAGAGCCTGTTATACAGAGTGAAGTAAGTCAAAGACGAAAACAAATATTGTATATTAATGTATATATATGGTATCTAGAAAACGGTACCAATGAACCTGTTTGCAGGGCAGCAATAGAGATGTCAACAGAGGATATACTCGTGGGCACAGTGGGGGAAGTAGAGGGTTGGATGAATTGAAAGAGCAGCACTAAAATATATATATTACTGGTGTAAAATAGATACTAGTGAAAAGATGCTGTATAACGCAGGGAACCCAAACCTGTGCTCTGTGACATAATAGAGGGCTGGAATGTGGTGGAGAGTGGGAAGGAGGTTCAGGGGGGAGGCGACATATGTATACCTAGAGCTGATTTACACTGTTGTACAGAAGAACCCAGCAAAACATTGTAAAGCAATCATTCTCCAAATAAAAATGAATAAAACAGGCAAAACGTAGTGGTTTCCTCAAGATCTAGTCTTGAGATGAGGTCATCTAGTTCAGGACCACATCACATCCATCACATCCAGTGCTCACACATTCATCCATATACAGACCCATCTGCACTAGCTATCCTCATCATTCATTTTCTTATAATATTCCACATGCACCCAAAGTGTCTGTGCTCTATTTTTGTCCTGGTAGGTACAAAGAGTGATAATTTCTCTGACTTCTAAAATTCTAGACTAATTATCTTTTTTTTTAAATTCATGTAAATAGAATTGTAAAATTTATACTTTGTGCCTGGTTTCACTCATGTCTATATTTGTGAACTTCATGTTGCCTAGAATTTTAGTTTCTTCGTTCTTGATGTATATCTTCCACTGAAGCATTTGGGTTCTTTTCATTCTGGGGCTACCATAAACAGTGATATGAATATTATATTATGTATATTTTGCCTTTATGACATATTTCTGGTGGGTGAATACTTGAGAGTTAAACTGCTAAGCAATATTGCATAGGAACCTGGAATGTTAGGTCCATGAATCAAGGCAAACTGAAAGTAGTAAAACAGGAGATGGAAAGAGTGAATGTCGACATTTTAGGAATCAGTGAACTAAAATGGACTGAAAAGGGTGAATTTAACTCAGATGGCCATTATATCTACTACTGTGGGCAGGAATCCCTTAGAAGAAATGGAGTAGCCATCATGGTCAGCAAGACACACAGTACTTGGATGCAGTATCAATAATGACAGAATGATCTCTGTTTGTTTTGAAGGCAAACCATTCAATATCACAATAATCCAAGTCTAAGCCCTAACCAGTAATGCTGAAGAAGCAAAGTTGAATGGTTCTATGAAGACCACAAAGACCTTCTAGATCTAACACCCAAAAAAGATGTCCTTTTCATTATAGGGGACTGGAATGCAAAAGTAGGATGTCAAGAAACACCTGCAGTAACAGGCAATTTGGCCTTGGGGTAGAGAATGAAGCAGGGCAAAGGCTAACAGAGTTTTTCCAAGAGAACGCACTGGTCATAGCTCCAAACAACACAAGAGAAGACTCTCCACATGGACATCACCAGATGGCCAACACTGTAATTGGATTGATTATATTCTTTGCAGCCGCAGATAGAGAAGCTCTATACAGACAGACCAGGAGCTGATTGTGGCTCATATCATGAAATCCTTATTGCCAAACTTAGACTTAAATTGAAGAAAGAAGGGAAGCACTTTTAGGTATGACACATTAAGGTATGTGTCACCATTAGGTATGACACAAATCAAATCCCTTATGATTATGTAGTGGAAGTGAGAAATAGATTTAAGGGACTAGATCTGCTAGAGTACCTGATGAACTATGGATAGATGTTTGTGACATTGTACAGGAAACAGGGGTCAAGACCATCCCCAAGAAAAAGCAATGCACAAAGGCAAAATGGCTTTCTGAGGAGGACTTACAAATAGCTGAGAAAAGAAGAGAAGTGAAAAGCAAAAGAGAAAAGTAAAGATATTCCCATTTGAATGCAGAGTTCCAAAGAATAGCAAGGAGAGATAAGAAAGCCTTCCTCAGAGATCAATGCAAAGAAATAGAGGAAAACAATAGAATGGGAAAGACTAGAGATCTCTTCAAGAAAATTAGAGATACCAAGGGAACATTTCATGAAAAGATGGGCTCAACAAAGGACAGAAATGGTATAGACCTAACAGGAGCAGAAGATATTAAGAAGAGGTGGCAAGAATACACAGAAGAACTGTACAAAAAAGATCTTCATGACCCAGATAATCACGATGGTGTGATCACTCACCTAGAGCCAGACATCCTGGAATGTGAAGTCAAGTGGGCCTTAGGAAGCATCACTATGAACAAAGCTAGTGGAGGTGATGGAATTCCAGTTGAGCTATTTCAAATCCTGAAAGATGATGCTGTGAAAGTGCTGCACTCAATATGCCAGCAAATTTGGAAAACTCAGCAGTGGCCACAGGACTGGAAAAGGTCAGTTTTCATTCCAATCCCAAAGAAAGGCAATGCCAAAGAATGCTCAAACTACCGCACAATTGCACTCATCTCACACGCTAGTAAAGTAATGCTCAAAATTCTCCAAGCCAGGCTTCAGCAATACGTGAACCGTGAACTTCCAGATGTTCAAGCTGGTTTTAGAAAAGGCAGAGGAACCAGAGATCAAATTGCCAACATCCGCTGGATCATCGAAAAAGCAAGAGAGTTCCAGAAAAACATCTATTTCTGCTTTATTGACTATGCCAAAGCCTTTGACTGTGTGGATCACAATAAACTGTGGAAAATTCTGAAAGAGATGGGAATACCAGACCACCTGACCTGCCTCTTGAGAAATCTGTATGCAGGTCAGGAAGCAACAGTTAGAACTGGACATGGAACAACAGACTAGTTCCCAATAGGAAAAGCAGTACGTCAAGGCTGTATATTGTCACCATGCTTATTTAACTTACATGCAGAGTACATCGTGAGAAACACTGGGCTGCAGGAAGCACAAGCTGGAATCAAGAGTGCTGGGAGAAATATCAATAACCTCTCATATGCAGTTGACAACACCCTTATGGCAGAAAGTGAAGAAGAACTAAAGAGGCTCTTGGTGAAAGTGAAAGAAGAGAGTGAAAAAGTTGTCTTACAACTCACCATTCAGAACTGAGATCATGGCATCCGGTCCCATCACTTCATGGCAAATAGATGGGGAGACAATGGAAGCAGTGCCAGACTTTCTTCTTTTGGGCTCCAAAATCACTGCAGATGGTGACTGCAGCCATGAAATTAAAAGATGTTTGCTCCTTACAAAGAAAGTTATGACCAAGCTAGACAGCATATTCAAAAGCTAGAGGCATTACTTTACCAACAAGTTCTGTCTAGTCAAGGCTTTGGTTTTTCCAGTTGTCACGTATGGATGTGAGAGTTGACTATAAAGAAAGCTGAGTGCCGCAGAATTGATACTTTTGAACTGTGGTGTTGGAGAAGACTCCTGAGAGTACCTTGGACAGCAAGGAGATCAAACCAGTCCATCCTAAAGGAAATTAGTCCTGAATATTCACTGGAAGGACTAATGTTGAAGCTGAAACTTCAATTTTTTTGGCCACCTGATGCAAAGAGCTGACTCGTTTCAAAAGACTTGATGCTGGGAAAGATTGAGGGCAGGAGGAGAAGGGCATGACAGAGGATGAGATGGTTGGATGGCATCACTGACTCAGTGAACATGAATTTGAATAAACCCTGGGAGTTGGTGATGGACAGGGAGGCCTGGTGTGCTGCAGTCCATGGGGTCACAGAGAGTCGGATGCAACTGAGCCACTGAGCTGAACTGAAGCCACATGGCTTCTCAGGCGGTACTGGTGGTAAAGAATCTGCCTGCCAGTGCAGAAGATTCAGAGATACAAGTTCCATCCCTGAATCTGGAATATCCCCTGGAGGAGCTCATGGCAGCCCACTTCAGTATTCTTGCCTGGAGAATCCCATGGACATAGGAGCCTAGGGGCTATACTCCATGGGGTCAAAAGAGTTTGACATGCCTAAGGTGACTTAGCATACACACACGTTAACCAGTGGGCACTGAGGTTGGTTAATGTTGAAACAGTGACAAAATAATTGAGTGTAGTTAACTTTTAAAAACTCGCCTACTGTTTCATTTTAGGTTGTACATCTCTATGAGATAGAATCCATAGGTAAATGTAGAGGGAGATAAATGATACCAAAAATCTTAACCAAGGTAAGTAAGTATGTGGTGCTTTGCTGTCTGGAGCCAGATGGAAGCACAGATTACTGAAATATGGCAATTCTCCACCCATGTTAAAGATTCAGTACAAATAAATACCTCCATGGAATTGGTGGGGAAAGTAGATTAGGGAGAAGAATGTATAAGAACAGAATTGAACTAATATTCTTATGACTTTCATTCCATATTCTAGAAACTTCAAAATCACATGAATATGATCTACCATCAGTGGGCTCTTTGGAGTCCAATGTCCTGAACCCTGAGGGAGGAGAGGTGGCCTCTGAATTAGAATACGTCTCCTGGGAGTCCCCTTTCTGTGCTCCCTTCTTTGCTGGTAAGGATAAAGGTAGAATGTTAGAGTCTATGCAGATCAGAGCAATGGGTGTTTGAGCATATCTATAGAAATGCAGCTCAACATTTCTACATAGCCCCTGGGGGAAAGATGTACTTGAGGTCCAGTCATAGTCTTTTCTTTCTCTCTAATTTGGGAGTCTAGGTCTCTCTGTTCTATCATAGGAACTCATCAAAAATACTTTTCACTTTTTTGGGAGGTAGGTGAGGAACCCTGTGCATATCTTTAGGGAAAAAATGTCATTTATCAAGGCACAATGTCCACAATTGTTATATAATTAGTTAAACCTCAGAGTAAAGAATTAATATAATACAAAATTGTTGCTAATATACTCCAGTAAGGCAGAGGAACCAGAGATCAAATTGCCAACATCTGCTGGATCATCGAAAAAGCAAGAGAGTTCCAGAAAAACATCTATTCCTGTTTTATTGGCTCTGCCAAAGCTTTTGACTGTGTGGATCACCATAAACTGTGAAAAATTCTAAAAGAGATGGGAACACCATACCACCTTCATATCATAGGAGTCCCAGAAGAAGAAGACAAAAAGTAAGGGCCTGAGAAAATACTTGAGGAGATAATAGTTGAAAGCTTCCCTAAAATGGGGAAGGAAATAGCCACCCAAGTCCAAGAAACCCAGAGAGTCCCAAACAGGATAAGCTCAAGGCAAAAACACCTTAAGACACATATTAATCAAATTAATGAAGATCAAACACAAAGAGCAAATATTAGAAGCAGAAAGGGAAAAGCAACAAATAACACACAAGGGGATCNATGAGATGGTTGGATGGCATCACCAATGCTATGGACATGGGTTTGGGTGGACTCCGGGAGTTGGTGATGGACAGGGAGGCCTGGGGTGCTGCGTTTCATGGGGTCTCAAAGAGTCGGACGCGGCTGAGCAACTGAACTGAACTGAATATCTGACAGTAGAAAATGTAAGAGTTCTGGATTGCCAGTCTACCACTTTGAATAGTCCTATAGATAATGACTTGCTGAAAATGAGTTCACACTCTAAAATTATAAAATATAACTCTAAGGTAGATTCTAATATGAACAGAAAGTTTTAACCATAAAGATAATTTAATTGAACAATCTTGTAAGAATAGTAACTAAGAATGTTCAAAATTATTAAAATTGTAAAAATACAAAACCCAGTCAAGAAAAAAACATTAAAAATAGCCAAATAGTAGTTGTAGAAATTAAAAAGTGTTGTTCTAAATCTTATAAAATATGTATATGAGTTAAACAGCAAATTAGACATAGATAAAAAGAAAACTGATGAACAGGATGATAGAGCTGAAAGATTACCTACATATAAGTCAGAGAAATAGATGGAGTTATAAAGGAAGGATTAATACAAAAGAGGGTAAAATGTGAAAATATGGTGTATTAAGGTTTCTGAATAAAATTTTCTGAGTAAAACAAGGAAAATAAGACAGATAATCAAAGGGATGATGGCTCAGCACTTCTCAGAACTGATGAAAGACCTAAATCCTTGGGAATCAAACATTATTAGAAAGCTCATTACAGAATAGGAAAAAGAAAACTCTGCACCTTGGTACACTGTACCACAAATTCAGAATCCCAATAGCAGAGACCTTAACAAAACTAGAGAGGAACACAGAATAATTACAGAAGAATGATGATATTGTCAGACTTTAAGCTTCTCATAGTAATTCAGATGATAGAAATACAAACCTAATGTCAACAATGTAAAGTAGTTTGTTTAAGAAACAGTCACTCTTCTACAAAAAAGGGTGAAATTCATACTTTTTAAAGTAAAAAACTATGAAAAATAAAGTATTAAATATTCAAAGCATCATATGATACCTTCTAAAAGTCCTGTCTGTTCCCAGTTCCTTAGTTCCTTCACATAATTCCACAGCCTAGGGGCTCACATGATCTCCCTCACATGTATCCTTCATATGGTCAGTATGTAACACTCTCATGGTCTCAGCAGGATTCACAAAATTACTCACACCTACACACTCTCTCATATAAATCAAACAGGTAGATAACTACTTGATCTTTAATAGTACATGACACATAGCTCACTCATGATACAGGAGAGACATACTGCCTTTGTTGTTCAGTACCCACTTGTGTCTGACTCTCTGTGACCCCATGGACTGCAGCATGCCAGACTTCCCTGTCCTTTACCATCTCCCGGAGTTTGCTCAAACTCATGTCCATTAAGTCAGTATTGCCATCCAACCATCTCATCCTCTGTCGTTCCCTTCTCCTCCTGCCTTCAGTCTTTCCCAGAATCAGGGTCTTGTCCAATAAGTCGGGTCTTTGCATCAGGTGGGCAAAGTATTAGAGCTTCAGCCTTAGCATCAGTCCCTCCAATGAATATTCAGGGTTTATTTCCTTTAGGATTGAATGGTTTGACCTCCTTGCAGTCCAGGGGACTCTCAAGAGTCCTCTCCAACACTGCAGTTCAAAAGCATTAATTCTTCAGTGCTCAGCTTTCTTTATGGTTCGACTCTCACATCCATCCAAAAAACTATAGCTTTGACTATATGGACCTTTGTCAGCAAAGTAATGTCTCTGCTTTCTAGGTTTGTCATAGCTTTTCTTCCAAGGATCAAATGTCTTAATTTCATGGCTGCAGTCTGTCTGTTGCAGTGTGACCCAACACATCATATTCATACTACTTTTACATACAATGACCATCTCATCCCCACATTCACTATGTAAAATTATTGAAAAAGCTTGACAGACATACATATCAAACTGTGCTCAGTAAATATGACATACAAGGCAATTCTAAAGATTATAGCATACACACCACATTTTCCCATTCCCACACTAACATGACCCACCAGACATCCTCAGTGACCTAAGAGACAAAGTAGATATATTTGAGAATTAAAAATTTTGGTATAATCTTAATTAAAACTTTAAAATGGAGGGAGTGATTTAATGTGTTTGTTATTTTATCAGGAACAAGAATTTACCTATTTGCTGAAGCTTGTGTATTTAAAGGTATAGTCCTTTCCATTGGGGACTTAGATTAAGAGGAAGTAAGAAAAGTGACTGGGGGTGTTTTTGATATGTTTAGATCACTGATAGAGGTGATTCAAGAAATACAAAATTTATTTGGGGACATTCCAAGAACCTAGAATTCATCTGTAAATTGATGAGGTTTCAAGATAGGCTATGATTATGGTGAGTATAAATGAAAAGCCGAGTCGGAGCCCTGTTGGCAGAGATCACTCAGAAAGGTGACATCACTGACTAGGCCACGTGATGACCTGTTAGTTGATGACCAAGTTAGTTCCTGAGAACGGAGCTGTGGCCAGCGTTGGGAGTTAAGAGTCTGGAGTCAACCCTGGACATCCTGCTGCAGTCTCCTAAACCTTAGAACCCAGCAGTTTCCGCAAAGTTCTGGCAACTCAGGTCTCTGAGTAAGGTTCCATAAGAACAAATAAGTGAAAGGTGGAGCTGGAGACTAGGAATAGATGTCAGTAGATTCTTTTCTGTGAATTCTAACTCTTTCAGGAAGCAGTGGATTTTTATATGACCATCCATAGCTGACAATCTGATGTGCTTTACCTATGTACTTACACTGAATTTATTCTTCTGGTAAATAGACTAGGAATAACAACATGTACCTGACAACATGCAAGAAATGGAGCCTCTCATAAAGTGAAGGAAATAATACAGGCCACTCATAGGCAATCAGCCACATGATTCCAGCATATATATTTGCATACCTGGATTTGGGAACTTTGGACAAAAACCAGACCATAAATTTCATGACGACAAGTGCCATGTGTGTTGTTGTACACTGTATTTCTTCAGTTTTTGTTGAAGGGAAATAATATCATGGGCTCAGAAGAAACTGTGCTCTCTGGAGTTTGACCCATGGCCACAGCCAGACAGCAGAGGATTCAGACTGAGAGGACGTCTCCTGGGCCTGTTCTGTAGACAGACTTATCCATAGTGGTACAGGTGTGGAAAAGAGGAGGTGCTGAGAAGGAATCAGACAGGGCAGTGGGTCGGCATGATGGTCTAGAATTGGAACTGAGCTCCTTTGCTCAACCATGGCCATGAAAAGTGAAAGTCGCTCAGTCTTGTCTGACTCTTTGCGACCCTATGGACTGTACAGCTAATGGAATTCCCAGGCCAGAATACTGAAGTAGATAACCTTTCCCTTCTTCAGGGGAATCTTCCCAACCCAGGGATCCAACCCAGATCCCCCACATTGTAGGCAGATTCTTTACCAGCTGAGCCAGCAGGGAAGCCAGTCATGGCCATTGTTAACCCATTTTCTCAATGGGTGTTTAAGGTCTCTGTTTCTGATCAGTGGGAAGAAATGTACCACGGAGGTGTCCCCTGTCTTCTTTGAAAGAGACTCTTAAAGGATATGAATGGAAAGGGTACAAACTGAAGAGAAATGTAGAAATGCATTTTTAGGAGTCGAGGGAAAGTCTATGAAGTCTTTATTTCAACATCTCCAACACCATGGCCAATTCCTAGGGAACTCTGAAAAAAAAAAAATGGCATTGCTGACAGAAATATAAAAGCACAACAACTCACAACATATGAATTGTTTTCCTGGGGCCTTCCTGACAACTATAGATCAGGAGACAGATAACACTGAGGGACTGCTCCAAAGAGGTGGCGGATGGTCATTATATATGTGCTTTTGATGAAGAGGGTACATACATGTCAAACACACACCTTGGTAAAAAGTTTCTTCCTGTCACAAGAAGGTTGCTACTAGTCATGAGGAGCACATATCTCTATGAATGACTTTAGTACTTTTCTAGGTGTGAGAAGATGCAAGACACTGGGTTTGTAAAATTTTGTCATTAAAGTAACTGTCTGAGGACCTGCGGCACAGAGTGCCTCTTTTCTGATCTCCACTGTGAACTCCTTTTAGGGTGTGATAAAGGTCAGCAACTGCAGTGGCTCATGGCCTAATCCTCGTAGGGTTAGATGGAGAGAGACATTCTTTAGTTTACAATATCTATATCTATGTATCTGTCTCTCTTTCCATATATATGTGTGTGTGTTTATATCTCTCTGTATATGTACATCAATATAGATTTCAATGTAAATATAGAGTTAGGCATATATGCAGAATAATGAAAAACTTGTATCCTGTATCCCCTATGAAATAATTTCTGGTGAGGAAAATTGAGTTAATAATATCCAAAATTTCATGACTATATACTGTATTTCAGGCATGGGCCTAAGTTTTTGATGTTCTGTATACATCTCTATAAATACATACAAGATACACAACATCCCTGACACACCACACACACCATTTTGATCATTGTTTATTTACATTTTGGAGTAAGTGGAGTTTCTCACAGGATAGTCACCCCAATATCTATGAAAGTAAGACTCATATGTGGTAGAAATGTTTGACATATAATATACATTCATTGTGTCCTTTTTGGAATGGACACAGATCCCAGAAAATGTCACTTCTCATTTTTTTTTGTTTTTTTTTTTATTCAATCCCCTAGATTCCTGGTCATCTCAGGAGGATGGTTCTCAGCCGGAGTCATTCGTGATGGTCCCAGCCTCTCGTCATATAATAGGAGAAGCTTCCTCTGCCTCCACAGGATATTTCTCTCGTGTCTCCTCCGACAGCGAGCTTGGCTCTTCTGATGAGGATGGTAAGGAAGATGCAGAGGTGGACTCTGAGCTTGGAAAGGGGGTGCAGTTGAATTGCTTAGCCTCATCCCTACTTTACTTTCTCTTTGAAAACAAGGAAAGTCAGGGAAGAGGGACTAGAATTGAAGTCTCTGCCAAGGGAAAAATAAGGAGTGTGCCTTCAAGAATAAGACAGTTTCTCAGCACTGATTTTCAGCATGTGAACTCTGGGATAGCTATGAGTGAGGTAGGGGGCAGTGTTGATACGCCCATGGGAACTTAATCAGAACCTTCCCCTTAGATCAGCACAAACTCATATCCTCATACTCACTCATACAGCATGCACAGAGTCCTTCGTACCAAGTATGGCCCTGTTTCTCCTTCCTTTCTCTTTTACTCTCAGATATACACAACTTCATTCCTCCATCTGTCTTTCCCACTCTCTAATAGCATTACATAGCTATACATTTATACCTCATTCTTTCGCCCATTTTCAGATTCATCTTTACACACTGATCCCATAAATAATTCACATATCTTTACACATATGACCTCTTTTAACTCACTATATGCTAGGTCAAACAAGAAAATTCATATGCCCTGAAGGGAATACACTTTCATATATAGTCTTAATCTAATCACCACTTCATCCACAAAACTTTCAATCCTTCATAGAAAGACACATTCTGAGAAGTCACAGATAGTTCCTCAAAGTCTTATTATCTCACAATAAGAACATGTACCACTCTTGCTTATGTATACTGAAACACCACATACCACACACAGATACCTATTCACCATCCCCTTTCACCATTAGACATGCCATGTATGCCCCAGAACATACATACATCATACCCTCATTCCCAGATACTTATAGCATACATGAAGTTCAAATATAACATGCCACACACAGAATTCTGAAATATCACATATATATGTACTTTCACTCCACATGCCCATATAGAAGTGTTTTCACAGCCATCTCAACTTGTATAGACTTCACATACTTGATCCCAGTTTTCTAATGCTTGAAATTTTCTTTGCTAGGAATCAAACAATCATATCAAGATGTTTCTTGTCTTGAATCCACTGAGATGCCTCCAGTCCTGGATTTGGAACAAGGAGAGACTTCGTCACCTTTCCCACAAGTCTCTCTTCCAGTTAATTTGGTTAATAGTAATAAGTCATTTATGTCATCAGTACCTACAAAAAAGAAAAGAGTCATGGAAATTTACTACATGCAGGTTCAAATGGAAAAGGATGTGGCTCCCTTACAGGATATAGAGGAAGGACTGGAGCCCCCCGAAAAGAAGATACAGATGGAAGAAATTACCTGTCCTGAAGAAACCCATGAGACATTCACCCCCTCTCAAGTGACCACAAAGGAGCTCCTGCCTGACAGAGAATCCGGTTTGGATATCCAAGTCAGAGATGGAAGGGAGAGGGCTGAAGGTCCAGCAGAACCTCAAGCTTTGGAGGAATGTTCCAAAGCCAAGACACCTGAAGGGCTGGCAGACCTGGGCAGTGGCTTCCAGTGCGTGAGCTGCTACCGGATCTTCCCCAGCTTAGAGGCCCTTCAGAAGCACGTGGAACATGCATCCAGTGAGGGCTTTATCTGCCATACTTTCCATGTTGCCTTGGCTTACCTAAAGAGAAAGCGGAACAGAAAAGGGAAGAACAGGAGGAGGAAGAATATCAAGACGGCAACATCTGATCGCCACCAAGAAAAACACGTTGGCATGGAGACATACTCATGCAATAACACTGATTCTCAGGCCTAAAAAGAGAGGAAATGAAGGAGGCCAACCTCTACTGAGGAGGCTTCATCTCTAAGCAGCCACAGTACCTGTCTTTGTTTATGCATCTTTGTTAGCACACCACCCAAAGAGCAGAGAACCCATTCTAATATTATCCACTGCTCTCTTGAGGAGAGGGGAGAGGATGGCAGATATCACCATACAGAAGAGCAAGATGTCCTTATGCAAACTAAAGACAAATGAACAGCAGTATATCTTCTCCACCACTACAAGTGAGAAAAGGACGAAAGTGAAACTGCTATGGACTAGATCACAGAAGGGGTGAGAACTGGAGGGGTAAGAGATCATGTCAAGAATATTTAGGATGCAGGATTCTGAGAAAAGGTGGCATCCACCAGCGATGCCTCCCAAGGTCCCATAATCACTGTAATGAATAATTTCCTTCAGAATAATGTATTCTTGGAAATGGAATATTTTTTTGTTGTTTAGTTACTCAGTCATATATGACTTTTACGACCCCATGTACTGCAGCATGCCAGGCTTCCCTGTCCTTCAGTATCTCCTGGATAGTCCGGGACACTAAACTCATGTCCATTGAATCAATGATGCCATCCAACCATCTCACACTCTGTCACCCCCATCTCCTTCTGCCCTCAATCTTTCTCAGTATCAATTTCTTTTCCAATGGGTCAGCTGTTTACATCAGGTGACCAAGTATTGGAGCTTCAGCTTCAGCATCCTTTGAATATTCAGGGTTGATTTCCTTTAGGATTGACTGGTTTGATCTCCTTGCTGTCTTTGCTTGTGGAATATTGTGGAATATTTGGTTGATGACAAATTAATGAGAATGTCTCCTGTCCGCTCCCTTGGAAGGGATAGGAAAAAATACCTGACTAGCAATTCTGCTACTCACTGGAAAAGACCCTGATGCTGGGGATGATTGAGGGCAAGAGGAGTAGGGGGCCACAGAGGATGAGACGGTTGGATGGCATCACTGACTCAATGTACATAAATTTGGGCAAACTCCAGGAGACAGTGAAGGACAATGAAGCCTGTCGTGCTGCAGGCCATGGGATCACAAAGAATCAGACATGACTGAGTGACTGAATGGCCAGCAGTTCAGCAGGGCAGAGAAGGCCTGGCCAACCACTCCTAGATAAACCAGAGGTCACCAGTGTCCCATCCCCTCTAGGTTTATGCCCTGGCCTGCCTCCCAGAATCACAGGGTAGGACAGAGACAGGCCTTCTATCTTGAGGAAGGGTTGATGTGCAGGCCCGTTATGGTTCTATCCTTTCTCTGAGTGTGAGATCTCAGTATCTGTCTAGTGATTTCATACCTGGGAGGAGACTATTGAGGTATGGTTACTTGAAATAAACAACTAATCAAATCCTTTTTAATTTTTTTTTTTTCTGAAAATAGTTTCCCTTCTTGTATACTATGAGCAAGTAGTTCTGGCTGTCTCTTCAAAACTGTCAGATATCACTGACACTTATGCCATGAACCATTTTGAAAACTTTTAATACATTGCTTCCTGGAGGACCTCCATATCTTTGAATGAAGAGTCACCATTCTTACATCTTATTCTTTGTTATAGCATCAATCATGTTATTCTAATTGAACAGCAGAGGAATGGAATACAGACAAAGCTGCAAAGCCAGGTTCATACTGCAGTAAATGAGAGTGTGTCTTTTTAGTTAATGGAATGAATGAAGGACTCTTCTCCCATGCTCCAAAAGTCACAATTAGAATGGAACCTATCAATTTTCCTGAATTTTCTATATCATGCAGGAAATGTTGAGACAATATTTTAATTTAATATTGTGACAACAATATTGTCACAATAGTGACAATAAACGCTTGTCACTAAAGTATGAAAAGCTGCTTTCTTCACTGAGTGGATTCCCTTCTCTGATTCATTTTTCATACAGTGACACAAACCCGGTGGCCCGAAGATTTCAAACGATGATGTCCAGCACATTCCCATGATCTCATGAGAGCCCAGCAGCCCCTGTGAACACCACAGCATCAAGGTAGGGTTGGCCGGAGGCACATGTACCTGATTCTCTGTGGCTCCTTTCAGTTGTCCTGGTAAATGTGATGCCAAACTCTGGAGAAAATGTTCACATAGAACAGGACTTGAACACCTGGCTGATCGCCTTGTTCTCTAGCCCAGATAATTGTCCTTAACTCCAATTTTATTACCTTCCCCCACATATAGATCCATGAACACATACATGATGCAGACAAGTGTGGACACTGCTGAATTCAGTACAGACTCTAATATCCCTTCTCCCGTGTACTCATGCCCATGCATTTATCTCGAAGTTATTTTTCCATATCTTTTTATTTAAATGAACATAAACTTTTTCCTCTTATCTCCCTTTTACATACTCACTTGTACAGTTACTTGGCTGAAAGACAGACATTCTTACTATTGAGAGAGGAAAAGTTACTGGATAAAGCCCAAGGCAATTAAAACACACCCCTTGGCTTCTCTGGACTTGTGTAGGTGTAGATGCACAAACACTTCTTATAGTAGAAATGATGGAACGTGTAAAAATCATCTGAGACAGACAATATGTGTATATACAGGTCATAATTCAGTTTTAAGCTTAATAACTTTAGAGCTGTAAAAGCTACCAATTTTTGGAAAATGTAATTTGCATGTTCAATTATTTGTATATGATTTACATGGATAATATTTGCACTGTCAAAAATTGATTTTAATCTTTCTTTGTCGCTCCAGCATCTTCAATCATAAGGGCAGAAACAAAAAATAAAAATTTTAAAAATATTATGGAAAATTCACAAAACTATATAGGAAAGGGGAAATTAAAATATTATTAGTTCAACTTTCAAATGATGTTCTTCATTATTTGTAGCTTTTACCCTACTGAAATTATTAAAGCTTGAGTTTGCATAAACAAATAATATGTATAACAACTATATGTTTACCTGTGTGTGTATAAGTTCATAGAATACAAGAAATGGGTTAAGTTGCTTTTGCTTTGATCTGCCAAAGCCTTTCTTTCTTCCCTTGATAAGAGGCTCTGCCTTCAGAACAAATATGAGGGCAAGTCAGTCTAGCCAAATGAAGTCATTACTTCGCTGATTGGCTTCCCTGATTGACCTCATGGTAAACATTAGTCTATGTTGGATCAATCTGCACTAATAACTTGGAAAATCAAAATATAAGAAAGAGTTTGTGGTGGTTAGTGGTGGGTTTCCCTTTGCAACTCACATTAAGCCCCATGAGCCTCTATTACTGGAATGCTTCTGTTCCTCTTTTTTTTTTAATCTCTTTTTTTATTTATCAAGCATCCCCACTAACCATTCAATAAATTCTTGGTTTGCCTTAGGTAGCCTGAGATATTTACTGCTGTTTGTAACCTAATGTACCTTTATTGATACAAATTAGCTTCAACATGATAATTTCTTCCATTTTAATAATAGAAATGATACAGTCCAGAAACAAGTAACATATTACATTCCTCTGATTTTATATGGAAACAATAAGGGATAAAATTATACTCAGTATGTATATTATGTCCTTGATTAATTAAGAAGGTGCATTGAAAATGTATGGGCATATAAACAAAATTACTTATTTGGACAAAATGGACTTCAGTATATTAGGTATTAGGCCTGGTAAATCCGTTATTGTTAGTTAGCAGCTTTGAGGACTTTCTGAGTCTGCTCTCCCATCTTGAAAACAGAGATCATAATACCTAAAATTATGATTGTGAGAGTAAGAAGACATGGATAAATGGATAAATGAACCCAATATAGCCTCAATAGCAAAATAATTTATCACTCACTTTTGAAATTTGTTTTCTTTACCTATGAGCATCTACAGTTTGATTATTATGTGTATAGTAGGATTCTTTTTTTTTAAATTTATGTTGTTTGATACTAGCTGAGCTAAGATTTTTTAAAAATATTTTGGATTTTGGAAAAATTATAAACTCAAAAGAAGTTTCAAAAATAGTTCACAGTCCAGAGGGGTTCCATGTACGCATCATGCATAATTTCCCAACATAATTCTAGTACATTATCCAACAAGGGCACTGATGAGAACAATATGATAAATCAGACTACAGAACAGACCTTACTCAGATTTCACTGTTTTTTAAAGTACTCACATTTTGCATGTTTTTGTGTATAATGCTATATTTTACACGTGTTGATTTTTGTATGTCCATCACTGAAGTCATGGTACATAAATGTTCTGTCCCACAAGGCAGTTCTTTCATTCTGCCCTTGACAGTCACATACATCCTGTTTCCCTAACTTCTGGAAATAGCTGTGCACTCTTTTTTTTTTTTTAATTCCAAGAATTTTATGCAAAATGAATCAGATAGTATGTAAACTTTTGAGAGTGGCATTTTCAGCTAAGCCTGATTCCACTAATATTGAGCCAAATTGTTGCATATATTGTAGTTTATTACTTTTATTGCTGAGGAGTATTCTATTGTATAATGTGGAACAGTTAAATGTGTTACACGTTTAAAGGCATTTGTGTTATTTCAAGTTATTGTGATTAGAAATAAAACTTCTATGACAGTGTGCAGGTTTTATGTGAACATGTTTTCATCTTTCTAGTGTAAATGCCTTAGAGCATTATTGTTTGGTTAGATGGTAAATGTGTTATCTTCTTAAAACTACTGCAGGCTAATTTTCAGAGTGGTTGAACAATTTTTATATTCCCACTAATGTATGAGAAGTGTAGTTTCCCTGCATCCTTACCAATATTTGATAGTGTAAGTATTTTTAAGAGCCTTAGTAGGTATGCGGTAGACTCTTGTGGCTGTTTAAATATTCATTACCCTAGCAATTTGTGATGCTGAACATCTTTTCATGTAGATGTCATTTGCGTGCCTTTTTTGGATTACCTTTATAAGTTTTCTGCCCATTTAAAAATTAGATTATTTTCTTTTTATCCAGAGAGTTATTTGTATGTTTTGGATATGAATTAGTTGTTGGGTATGTAATTTGCAAATATTTTCTCCCAGCTGGTGGTTTGTCTTTTCATTCTCTTAACAGGGTCTTGGGTAGATTAAATGGTTTTAAATATTAATGAAACCAAATATATCAGCTATTTTCTTTTATGGATGGTGCCTTTTGTGTCATGTCTAGGAATTTGGCACTTAACTCTGGGTCTCAAAGATTTTCTTCAATTTTCTTCTAAAGGTTTTATAGCTTTACATTTAGTTTTATCTGTGATTCTGTTTAATTTTTGTACAAGGTGTAAGGCTCAAATGGATTTTTGGTTACTGTTGTCCAGTTGTTCCTGCACAATTTTATAAAAATGTTATTCTTCCTCTACTGAGTTGCTTTTGAATTATCATTTCAAAAGAAGCTTGTCTCACTTGTTTGGGTCTGTGTGTGGTCTCCTCATTCTGTTGCATTGATTTACTCTTTATTCCTCTGATATTGTATGCTGTATTGATTGTTGTAGATATTGACTATGTCATAAAAATAGGTGGTATGATTTCTCTGGCTTGATGCTTCTTTTTCAGTATTGTTTAAGCCATTCTAATTCATTTGTGTTTCCACATAAAATTGAAGATAAGCTTGCCCATATATATTTTAAAAATCTTGCTGGGGTTTTAACAGGGTTTACACTGAATGTACAGATCATTTTGTTAAGAACTAGCATCTGCAATTGGAGAAATAACTCCAAAAAGAATGAAGAGACTGAGCCAAAACAAAAATAGCACCCAGTTGTGAATGTGACTGGTGATGGAAACAAGATCTGATATTGTAAAGAGCAATATTACATAGGAACCTGGAATGTTAGGTCCATGAATCAAAGCAAACTGGAAGTTGTCAAACAGGAGATGGAAAGAGTGAATGTCTACATTTTAGGAATCAGCAAACTATAATGGACTAGAATGGGTAAATTTAACTCCAATGGTGATTATGTCTACTACTGTGGGCAAGAATCACTTAGAAGAAATGGAGAAGCCATCATAGTCAATGAAAGAGTCCAAAATGCAGTAGTTGGATGCAATCTCACAAATGACAGAATGATCTCTGTTTGCTTCCAAGGCAAACCATTCAATATCACGGTAATCCAAGCCTATGCCCCAACCAATAACACTGAAGAAGCTGAAGTTGAATGTATCTATGAAGACCTACAAGACGTTTTAGACCCAAAAAAGATGTCCTTTTCATTATAGGTGACTGGAGTGCAAAAGTAGGATGTCAAGAAACACCTGGAGTAACAGGCAAATTTGGCCTTGGAGTATAAAATGAAGCAGGGAAAAGGCTAATAGAGTTTTGCCAAGAGAATGCACTGGTTCATAGGAAACACCCTCTTCCAACAACACAAGAGAAGACTCTACACATGGACATCACCAGATGGTCAACACCGAAATCAGATTGATTGTATTCTTTTCAGCCAAAGATGGAGAAGCTCTATACAGTCAGCCAAAACAATACTGGGAGCTGATTGTGGCCCAGATCATGAATTCCTTATTGCCAAATTCAGACTCCAGTTGAAGAAAGTAGAATAAACCACTAGACCATTCAAATATGACCTAAATCAAATCCCTTACATTTATACAGTGGAAATGAGAAATGGATTTAAGGGACTAGATCTGATGGACAGAGTGCCAGATGAACTATGGATGGAGTTTTATGACATTGTACAGGAGACAGGGATTGAGACCATCTCCAAGAAAAGGAAATGCAAAAAAGCAAAATGGCTATCTGAGGAGGCCTTACAAATAGCTGTGAAAAGAAGAGAAGCAAAAACAAAGGAGAAAAGGAAAGATATACCCATCTGAATACAGAGTTCCAAAGAGTAGCTAGGAGAGATAAGAAAGCCTTCCTCAGTGATCAGTGCAAAGTAATAGAGGAAAACAATAGAATGGGAAAGACTAGAGATCTCTTCAAGAAAATTAGAGATACCAAGGGAACATTTCATGAAAAGATGGGCTCAATAAAGGACAGAAATGGTAGGGACTTAACAGAAGCAGAAGATATTAAGAAGAGGTGGCAAGAATACACAGAAGAACTGTATAAA